GGCGCCGACGATGTCGGGCGGGTTATCACGCGCGGGAAGATTCCAGCGCAAACAACGGCCAGGGCTGCGACTCTGCCGTTACAAATACGGAAGGCAAACCTTGGGTCAGCATTAGTTTGTTATGATTAAATTAAATTAATAAACATATTTGAATTTAATTCAGATATGATGTCTGATAGAGATTACACAATGGTTTATTGTTATTTTACTGCAAAATTTATGTTTCTGGTGTATTTGTGTAAGAAAGAAAAGAAATTGAATCATTCGCAAATTTGTTACAGAAATTCTAACTGTATTATTAAAATGTATCGTGCTATTACGTTATCCAAATACTCTGTGTAATGTAATTAATTATTCGAATAATTTTATTTACTTTTAAATTGTCACTAAGTAACCTTTTTGATCCTGTATATCAAAATAATACTGTAGGCATTTCTTTATCTAATATAAAAGAGCGGTTATCAGATGTGTCAACAAATAAATTGAATTTCTTAAAATTAAAAAGCTAATGTAATATTAACATTAAAAGGAAGCTTAAGTTAATATTGCCAGTTTTATTTGTTAAATTTAGTGAAAAGTCAACTACTTATAACTTCATATTTTTATACGAACAAAATGTAATATTCAGAAACCAAAACGTACTTTTTCCTTGTCCGTGTCTAAGAATGAGTAAATATTATGAAATCTTAAATGAAAGGGTCGTACTTTGACAGTTTTATCATTTACACAATTAAAATTAATACGATTACATTGTAAGTTGAAAGTGCCCTGTTGATTTTGAAGAACAAAGTAAACATCATAACTGCGTAAATTGTCTCGTGAAAAGTTTATTGCCAAAAGATATTAATTATCTATACTTATTATATTTTTTCAAGTTTTCATTAAATAATTTTAATATTGATAAATCCATGGCTGACAAACTTATGGCTGTCTGTTTACTCCATTTTTAATTTTAACTTTGATGTCTCATTTCATGTTTTATAATTACATGTCAATTATGAACTAGAAAGGGGAAGCTTGTACTTTATCAATACTAAAATTTAAACAGATGTAAATATAAATCAATTTAATTTAGTGAGATATGTTTGTTTTAAGATATGCTTATATGTACTTAATTGCAACATATTTAACTTGTTATAAATTCGTTACTTAGTAATCTTATTTACTCACTTGACTAATATCTTAGTTTATACTTGGTTGGGTTTAATATAGACATTGACTAATTGTAAAAGAGGTCTTAAGCTCATAAGATGACGCACAAAAACGTCATCGATCTGCTGATATTACTCATTCGTGGGTATGACCAATGTTCGTACAAAACGGCCGCAAGCCCTAGTCGGACGTCATAGATTACGTCATAGCTTACGTCAGAGCTACGTCTCGTGTTAAGTGGTGCAAGACGTTCATGACGTAGGTGTTTGATTCAATATATGACGCTATTGCTCGCGTGTACACTGCACGTGATTTATAGGAGTTATGAATAGGTTTGTACTATAGATTGTTTTAAATCTAGTGTTTGGACCATTTACTAAAAAGCAAGTTGATAGATGTTTCATTTTTTAGATCAAAGATCATAAAAAACCTTATAACTCAATATTATAAATGCAAAAGTTTTGGATAGATGAATAAACGAACGATTGTAAGAAGGTATCTCGGAATGGTTAGGTTTTATTAAATCCTGTGCCTAAAGCGTTGCGGGCAAAAGCTACTAAAGAGTAAAGATCATGATAGTTCAATATTTTTTGTCTGAAAGTTTGACTGTAGATGTTATGTAATATATTGATATGTTACTTGTATTTCTTGTAAATTGATTTGTAGAATACTTATCAGGTTTCTTGTTATAACGGGTGATGACGATTATCTACGTTTATTTACAATGTTGCACAACTTTGTAATTACCGTACGTTTTTGAAATGGCTGACGTCATTCCGTTTCGCGCATTGTTATAATATACTGAAATATGATAGCGTATATTTTGTAACCACAAATTATAAGGATATTCATCGTAGTATTTGGGAATAAGCAAATTAAACTTCATTGTGCGAGTGCGTGACAACTGTTTATTTTACCCACCGACAGAGATATTATTCAATATGCCATGTCCTTTCTTTTCATAAAGGAACAATATAAGAGAACATTGTAATTTAAATAACAATTTAAAACTTACAATTAATAATCAAAGTTTATGTACTAATTCGACTGTGAACTGCGACCTTCTAATAAACAAAATTACAAATCTACATAGAGTATTTGTTATAATGATTCTTTTTTATATATTGTTAAATTAAATTAAATTAAATTAAGTTATTATAGTATAATAATTAAAGGCAGGCTATTGATAATAGACTAGAGTTAGTTCAATTCAATATTTAGTATGACGATGAGTTTGTGTTAACCTCAAGTTTTTCATAAAGTAAACTTTTTTTTAAGAAAAGGGGGCAAACGAGTGCACATTGGTGAACAACGATGCCTCTGGAAATCCAAAATACCAGAAGAACTGTAGTCGCGTTTCCGGTTTTTGAGGAAATGGTGTACTTGCTTTTTGTAATGCCCTTAATATAAAAAATTTAGTCCTGGAAATACCACAGAGGATCGCACCGCAGAAAGTTTTGAGAAAACCGAACGGTGGTGAATCCACGTAATTTAATAATACGTTTTCTACGTCTATTACTAACATTTTCAAAGAATACGCTATTAGTCATATTTACCACTTTCCTAGATGTGTCCTGTTTTAAAAAATTATATAAAAAACATTTTTCCTGTCCCCCTCGGGTTTTCCACATAATGTTTGGTTTTTCAGTGACATGAGTTATTTGTAAATTGATGACACAAGTTATCGCCCGCAATTTCGTTAGCATGGGATTTAAAAAACAAAAGTAAGTAAGCCTATTTATACTTCCAGACTAACATCTAAATCTATGCCAAATTTCATCAAGATCCGTTCAGCAGTTTAAGCTACAATCTTTAACAAACATCCATCTAAATTTTCCCTTTTTATTAGCGAGATTTCCAAATTAGAGAGCTACAGCGCTGTGAGTCCTATATGGTAACAATGTTATTCTGTAATTTATAGGTGGGTCCAAAAGAAACAAAAACAAAAAGTAAATTAAAGTTTATTTTCATTTCTGTGATCGTGTTTTGTCACTGAACACAGACGCTAAGGTCGTTATTTGCGTACAATTATTATTGCGAGTAGTTTATCATAATTTTTGTCCTTGCTGACTACAGTACGATACCGCGATATTTGGCTAACGGAATTAATATACCTATATTTAAAAGCAGAACGATTTTTTTGGGAGTGTTACTATTAGGTGACGTTAATAAACCATTTTTTTTAGTGTATAGGTACTTCAAATCAAAAATTGTTTTTTTCCAATGGTAGAAGAATTATGTTTTCCAGGTTTATAATTACAATGTCATTAACTTTTTTTAACACTATAGTAAAATTTGTTTATATTTTTATGATTTGTTAAGACGTCATTTTGGAATATCGCAGTGTTATCTGGATTCATTAGTAGGCTTATGGTAAGAGATTATTTGCGTACGAGTAAATATTAGTATGACGGTAAGCAAATATGCTACAAAATGTTACTATGTGACAGGATTCCGAACGCTTACATTTCTGTTTAAGTAATCTATTGAAAATGAGGGTATTTCTAGAAGTTTTTTTTTCCAGAAACATAGTGACAAGTGTAATGAATCGATCGTTTAATTGGTGAATGAGATCGAAGTTCATTTGATAATATCCGACATCTGTTACAATTGATTGGAACAAGTAAATGCCTTGGTAAGTAATTGACATTGTTTTGTTGGTAAGATAATATGAGAGAAATGAATGAAATGTGTAAACAATAATTTGAATATAACCTAAATTTTCCCGGAGAAACCTATGTTGGTTTGAACTTTGATCATCTGATGACCAGACTTAGTGAATAGATGTTAATACCTAAAACCGATTTATGATTATATGACGAAACATTGCGTCACTCTTGACAAGTGAATTAAACAAACAAGTGGAGGACAAACGAGTGTCACGTAGAGGCACATGACCGATATATTGTGCGATTATTTCGTCCAGTTTTGCCAAAATATACTTTATGTAGGACTTTTTTTGGACATGATTTATACTGACAGACTGGTTTTTTAATTTTAATGATATAAATATTTTAAAATTGTAACACAAATTCATTTATTTAAGTTAATTGATGTCTTTTTTATGAAAATTAATTGAATGTACATTCA